TTATGTAATTCGCTCATGTTGCGGGACCTCGCTCTGCTCGTCCCGCAAATATTCACTCGTTACATAAAATAAGGCGTTTTCTAACTCAGCGTTTCTCAATCTTTTTTGGCCCGCGGACCAGTAGATTTGTTAAAAAAAAAAATTATGGACAGTAAATTGCGTGTCAGTAAAATTTCTCCACGGACCACTAATGGTCCGCCGGCAGCGGTTGAGAATAGCTGTTCTAACTGGTTTCATAAATAGCTATTATTTTTATAAAAATATAAAGTACTATAAATTGGACAACTTACAAATAAACGAAAATACATAAATAATCCAAAGTTACTTGTGTGTGACATCATTTTACACGTAAATATTAATAGATAAATAAATTTACCTACATAAAAATATAAAACCTTATCTATAAAGTGAACAATTATACTTTTTTGTTAAGGGTATTTCAAATGCAAAGGCACCTGAGACACGCAAGATCTTTTTTTTTTTTTTTTAGAAAATGTTGGGCAGAATAACGAGCAATTTTAAAAAGTTTTAAAAACGAAAAAAATCAAGTTTTACAAATACATTTTTAGTATTCACGTATCATAAACCATCCGAAACAAACCTAAAAGCGTGCATAATCGGGTCTTTATCGCACGCCGTGCGTATAAATGTTCCTAGGTAACCGCTTCAATAAATAGTATTAGATTGTGTCAGATTTTATTTTGTAATTGTCAAATTAATTAAATTGTTTATAACTACCTAAAAACAAGTACCTTCGGTAAAAACTAAAGATTTTTTTAACTTCCTAACCTCCTTTCATAAACGAATGCAACTTGTGATACGATGCTAAATCTATTCCATTTGTAACCCTTATCATAGCTTGCTGAATACGCGAAAGTGACGAAGATTTGTAAATTCTTGACAATTCCGACACATACTCTAACATTATTATTGACTTACATTTTGAGTGTGCTCCATTCATAATACTAACTTTTCATATTCCTTGTAGTATAAATGCTTGGATTTTACAGATAGGTAATAAATTTAACTCGGCTTCAGCAGCTAATTCTTCAATTTCCGACCTCATTTTCAATACGTATAACAATGGCGTTTAATAGTTAAATGAAATGTCAAATGACATTTACCTACCCACTCTATAAAATGCATGGAAATTATTAATTTGAATTTTTCATTTAAAATGATTGTAGTTATTACTTTTATTACTATTGTATTTACGTATTCATACTAAAAAATATCGTCGGCTGCGCGTCGTGGCCTTAAACTCGTTGCTCATACTTTAAAGGCTCGATTATGCGTTAGTGTCATAATATACTATTATTTTGTTAAAGAACATAAAAAAGCATTGAGTTTATTTTTTGAAAATAACTTCGGAAATATGAGTTCTGTTCAGGCGTACACATTCTTCCAAACGCACGTGATCTGTAATTATTTATTACGTTCCGCAACATTCGCTTTTCAAAGCTTGAATTGTTTGTGGTGGGTTATCTTGAAACACGTTATTCTTCAAGTAACCCCACAAGAAAAAACGCACGTTGTGAGGTCTGGTGAACGGGGAGGCCAGGTGATTTCCCCATTTCTAGAAATCCCATGATTTGGAGATATAATCCTTTCACGGCGTACGCGCGCTACTGAGAGGCCCATCACTCCATTATTTCTAAATGTTAATACACAACTACTATCTATGGATATCGTCTAGACATGTTGACCTATTAATTACTTACGAATGTACAATTACCTGCATGAAGTGAATTACCGTTAAAAAGAAAGTAATAATCGACTTCTAGCAGAACATACATTTTTAACTAATTAAGTCTGTATTAATAATGGGAAGGAAATTACACTGAAAATAAAAATAAAGGGAAGATAATAAAATTTTAAGTTTGCGTCACACTATTCCAGCTTATCGAAAATTTTAATACTTCTGACGTAATTATATAAACCATAAATGTATATACGTATAGGGCTTGTATTGTGATAACCTTCAATTGACTATTCGAAGTTGTTAATTTTATTGGCAAGAAAAAATGTTGTTTATTTTTTTTATGCCTATACAGTGCGTTTTTATTTTAGATCACCATTATGATGATGTCATGATTACGTCTTAAGTATAAACCTACCTTTTTATGTAAAATTAAAATACACAATAATAATATATCTCTATTACAATAAAGTTGATAATTTTTGAGATACAGGTCCTTAATGACACGAAAATTAGTTTCAGCAAAGTGTTGCGGGAATTCAACAAATAACTATTACTTATATTTCTGTTATTAAAAATTATATTTTACAGAATTGTATGTAACAAAATCCCATAACAAATGCAATTGATTTTTTTCATGGGTGACCTAGGCTTTAGCAAGTTAGACTAATAGCCCTAATGTTCTGTGTAGGTTATGGTGTGCTATTACTCTAATACTCCATGATGTAGCAGTGCTAGTACTCATATGTTATTATTTATTTAACTAAAGATGTTTTAAAAGTAAAAGGGTTACTACTTTTTAAGAACCGGGACTAAAATGAACAGTGAAATCAATCACAACCCATTAAATTTTTGGTGGAAGTATTCATTCAATATTATTCACCAAATAATTGTTTTTGGTGGAAGCTGTGCTCTTTCGCCATAATTTAAATTTTTCCTTTAAAGGATGTTACACAAAAATTCGCCTAATGTGAACGTGTGTCAAACATTTTCTGTGACTTAGCGGAAAATAACAATTGTTCAAAAGGAAATATTTGTTCCCAGTCCGAACAATAAGTGTTTGCACAGAATTATTTTTAGATTTATATTTGAATAAAGTTGAAAATTAGGGTTGATAAAAATTGATTGATTAGTATTGAGAAAAATTGATTAGGTTTGAGAAAAAATGATTAAGGTTGAGAAAAATTGATGGGGAAATGATTAGGGTTGAGAAAAATTGATACAGGGTTGAGAAAAATTGATACAGGGTTGAGAAAAATTGATACGGGGTTAAGAAAAATGGTTTATCTATATATAATATATATAAAATTGTTTGTCCTGACTGACTGACCTATCAACCTACAGCCAAAACTACTGAGCCTAGAAAGCTGAAATTTGGAACAGGTTTATTTTATAACGCAAGCATAAGAATGGATTTTTGGAAATTTTAAATTTAAAGGGGGGAAATTAGAGGAATTGAGGGAGGGAGCTTTTAATGAAACTCTTTGTTCTTTAAAGTTAGAAACATGAAAATTAAAATTACAACTAGTAAGCATAAATAAATAATGACGTGTTTCAGGGTTTTTGGATTTTCACATTTTAAGGGGGGGGGGAACAGGGGGTGAAAGTTTGTATGGGACTATCGATTTTTTTTGTTCTCTTTGAAGTTAGAAACATGAAAATTGGAATTGCAGCTACTGACTACAAATTATTAATGACGTGTTTCAAGGTTTTTTTATTTTCACATTTTAAGGGGGGGGGGGGGATGAGGGGTGAAAATTTATTTGGGAGTATGTTTTTGGTTCCCTTTAAAGTTAGAAACATGAAAATTGGAATTGCAGCTAATGAATACAAATTAATAATGACGTGTTTTTAGGGTTTCTGGATTTTCACATTTTATGGGGGGAAACGGGGGGTGAAAGTTTATTTGGAAAAATTGATTTTTTTAAAGGTAGGAACTTGAAAATTGGAATTGTAGGTTATCATAAATAAATAATGAAGTGTTTCGGGATTTTTGCATTTAAACATTTTAAGGGGGGAAATGGGGGGGTGAAAATGTGTTTAGTAGTATGTATATATTTTTTTATTTAAAGTATGAAACAAAAATTTGAATTAGAGCTACTGATTAAAAGTCAAAAATGATGTGTTTCATGGTTTTTGGATTTTCACATTTTAAGGGGGGGAAACGGGGGGTAAACATTTGTATGAAAGTATAAATTTTTTGAACCTTGGAACTTGAAAATTATAATTGTAGCATAAATCAATAAGGACGTGCTCTGTGGTTTTTAGATTTTTGTTTGGTAGTATCATAAAAATAAACTAAAATTAAAAAAAAATAATTATTAAAAATTATTAAAAATCAATAAAAATTAATAAAAATTAATAAAAATTAATAAAAATTAATAAAAATTAATAAAAATTAATAAAAATAAATAAATAAATAAAAAATGAAAATCAATAAAACTAATAAAAATTAATAAAAAAAGGAAGTCATGTATTTTTTATATTAATAACACGACTACATGCGAGAAAAGTCACGAGCAAAGCCGCGGGCAACAGCTAGTATTATAATATAATATAAAATTTAACGATAATTGCTCTTCGTAACGTATCTTCATAATTATACGCCCAATAAAATAAATATTGACGGGCGGACCCGTGCGAGTTTTTCACATTTGTTTCAAATAACAAAGTTTATGGAGTAAGGATGGAAAAATACGGACCGTAATCAGCGGTTGCTGTCGACATTTTGGCAAACCACAGTTTCTTATAGACTGAAATAGACACGCGTCGGCGTGCAGTTAACAATAGCAGCTTAATAAAACTAATTCAGGACTCTTAAACAGGTCTACAATATTCCATAATTGGACGGATATAAGTTTTATAAATTTTAATAATCATCTAAAAATGCATTTTTCAAAAGGAACAATTATCCACTTTTACAGCAAATTTTAGACGTAAACGAAATTTTCCCTTATTAATATAATTGAAAGCGAATTGTTCAGATACAACACGTTTTTTTGACAATAGACGAGAGATATTTTACATGAAAATATTTTTCAAACTCCTTTTAAGTTCATATTTTATAATGGAACAAAATTCAAGACATTTCTATCGGATAGGAATTTATATTCATATAATTCATGGTAATTATTTTTGACACTTGTGACTGTTATTAATTATTTCTACCGGTTTATTTTTCGTTTTAGGTAAATTTCATCACAGATATACAGTTTTATGAGCGGATATATGTAAATAATGTCTGAAAAAAATTGTTAGCGAAGTTTTCCAATCTGTATCAATTTTATTTTTATATTTTCAGCTAAATCGAAACCAAATGCTCAAAGGACGGCCTCTAAACAGGGCTCAGGAGGTCCTAACAATAATCAAAAAGCTGTTATTACGAGTCCGGCAGTATCAGTACCTCCACCACAGCCAGCCAAACCAACAAGCAAATCTACCAAGAAGAATGAACTTAATTTGAAAGGCGCCAATAAGGAAGGCACTGATATGGACGCCTTCAACGATAATGCTCTAAATGAGGTAAGCTTACCAATACAGAATTTTAGAGATATCAGATTTGATTATTTTATTGCTAAACATTAATTTAAATTAGATATAATTATATACCCTCCTATAACAACAAAGTTGTGCTATTTACATTAAAATGTGACACTTCAGACCTGGCTCGAAAATTCTAGATATTCTCGATTAGAATAGACTAAGTATCTGCACCGCATCCGGTTTAAAATTCATACTTACAGTTAAAAATCGTTTGTTAGTGTTGCTGGAACAAATTTAATATTACAGATTTTCGTTTGGATTATACACATGATGTTTTTTTAAGAAAGTAGTGGACCTAATAAATTTGAGGATGCTTTTTCACTGATAAACTCTTAAAACATTTTTCTACTTCCTGACGAATTTCTTTATACATAATTGCTTCTTTTTTTTTAGGAGGAGAACTCGAATGTAATTCCCACGCAAGTAGTGAACAATTCTGATATTATTAATGCTAATTCCTTACCTCCAACGACTAATAGTACTACTCCTATACAAACCCATATAGCTGATGTCGATCCCAAAATTGAAACAAACAATAAAAAGTTCGACAACGAGATGACAATCAAACCCGCAGAACCTGTTACCAAATCATTCTTTAAAAATACGGTAATTGAATAGGTTGCAATTTAATTTTTTTTATGGTTCTAATTGATTCAGGTCTTCATTACTATTATTATTTATTTTTTTAGGTTGACGTTACAGCTATAGTAAAGAATTTGCCTAAAAATATTAAACCTTATAGCAGTACAGTGGGTCAAGATGAAACAGATCGGGCCGCGTTACTGCACTCAAATGAAAAAATGGTGCAAGCCAAGAACGACGTCAACGCTAAAACTAATGAACTTAGTAGGATAGAAAATAAGTTACCATACACTGGTGGTAAGTTTTGCCATTTATAACAATCGTAATTTTATAATATTGAAAAAGTGTAAAACGGCTCTGTATTTTTTAAATAATTTGTTTTAACTTTTATATTTAGGTTGAAATCAATGAAGGCCCTTTATGTATGGGCAAAATTATCCTCAATTATCTTCACTTCTTAACACTTTTCTGATTTCTGAAAATGCAAAAAAAATCGTCTATGAGTGGTTCTTTATACTCGTCATTTCTTCATATTTTCTAATTTTCGATTTAATTTTATTGCTTTGAATATCAGTGTTTTTAAAAGGCAATTCATTTCTTATTGAGCTTATTTTATTCACTGATTTCGCGATTTCACTAGATATACCCTTCAACTGTGAAATCATTTAACATTTTTCTTCTATATTAATATATTAATATATATATTAATAATTTATTTGAAATTTTTTTTAACCTGTTTTAATGTGAAAATAATTATAGGTTGAGATTAATGTGAATCTTACCAGCAACCATTCACACTACTCAACAAATGAGTTAAAAAGTTTACATTAAAAATAACACTAGAAATTTTATCATCATTAGTGAAGGTGAATAATTGAATAAAAATAATAAAAAATAATAATCTAAAGCAATTTTATTTGTTTATGACTGAAAAAAATTGATATCCGATAGTTGTATTTTAGGTTTTTGACCTTTCAGAATTTTTTTTTCTTAAAATTAATAGTTTCCCTTATAATTTATTTTTTTTTTTTTTTTCATTCGTCGAATTTTCCTTTCAATACAGTCCCAGCTCCTCATAACTTACTTGATAAGTTATGAAGGCGTTTAGTACTGTAAGATTATGAACTACAAAACTTTATTATCCAATCCATAGATGATTGACATAATTATACAGGTAGTTACAGTTTAACAAATAAAGATCAATATATTTTTTAACTTAAATGGGATATCTTTAAAAAATATATTTTTTAACTTAAATGGGATATCTTTAAAAAATATATATTTTTTGTTTTTTTTTGTTTAAAGATCAGTGGTCACCAGCCAATCAAAATGGGATAAAGAAATACGAAAAAGATTTTCTTTTGGCATTAAAAGAGGTACCAGCTAGCAGGATAGCTCCAGATAATATTTTGGATGCAGTTTTAGCAGATGAAAGGGGGGTAAGTTGACAACGGATTGAATGAAATATTTTTTTTATCCAAATTAGTTTGAATGAATATACCGGGTGTTCAAATTAAAGTGTTACAGTTAAATACCGCCGAAAATATGCATTTTAGAAAAAAAAAGTTTTAGACAAAAGTTTTATAGTTTTTTGGGGGAAACATTTTGGCTAAATTCATTTTTTTATAGCTGACCATAATATGGCCATATCGAGGTGAACTTTGTTTTTTTAAATGGGAATCCCATTTTTTTCTTACATATTCTTAAAGTACCAAAAAAAAATAAGAAACTTTTGAGGGAAATATTTTTTTATTGGACTTTTACTTTTTGAGTAACAGCTACTTGAAAATGTTGCTGCGCGAAAAAAAGTTGGCCATATTATGGTTAGCTATAAAAAACGATTTTAGCCAAAAGTTTTTCCCCACAAAACTATAAAACTTTCGTCTAAAACTTTTTTTTTTATAAAAAGGGGTATATAGCTGTAACGCTTTAATTTGAACACCCGGTATAGTGTCATTTATTTTCAAATATCTACCTTTTAATTAAAAAAAAAATGATTTTTTTTATTACTGTGATTAGGGATTCAAATATTTAAAACCAGTATTATTTTTTAGTTTACATATTAGGACAAACAAATCATAGGAAAGTCCCTTCAGACAAATCTATTTCTTAAAGGATATATTAATAATTTTATCATTGTTTCTTTTTAGCGAATATATGATGGGCGTTTATCAATGGGTAGTAGAACCGATTTCAACCCATCATTCAATACTTATGGTAGAAATAGTTCACAAAAGGGGGTAAGTAATTCTAAAAACTTGTATATCGAGTCTGGCAAACCCTTTGTCGTAGTTCTGCTACTATACAAAATTTTAAGGATATCTGTCAGTGGGGGTGCAAAACGTAATATTCGGAAATTATTGTCATGTATATAATGATAGTAAATCACCTATCACCTATTTTTTTATTAAATGGAATTACTTAACTTTTTTACATTTTTAGTTACTCTATAGTCACTGGTACATATCTACAAAATATAGTTGCTTAATATTCCACCACTTTCAGAGAAACACAATTTTTACCGAAAAATATTACATTTTCATACTCCTATTTAAATCTGAGAAAGCAAAGCATTTTTAATGTTGGAATTTAAAAAACTACATAATATAAAACCAGTAAATTAAAGACACTTTTAGACCAAGTTTAATTCTTTTAATTTGTACAAGATGGTCAAACATTAATATTTTAATATTAGGAAATATAAAGACAGATTTGCCGGACCCGTTATAACAAAAAAAAATCACGAGTTTCAAATGATGACACGTCATATTGGACAATTTTGCCTGAATAGAAATATGTAGGTTTAGATAGTGGGACTGACATTTTAAAAATAGAAATAATTCAATACTCTGTTTCGATTTTTGTTTAATGTCAATTGTTTTCTTTTAGCCAATTACAGGTAGGTCGAGCACAAGTAAAATGGACAGGAGCAAAGGTGGAAAGGGCAGTAATATAAAACCAACGATGAAAGTATCGATATCAGTTAGGGAAGATGTTAAACTTCACGAATCTGAAAACGCGTGGCGACCCGCCAGATATCAAAAGGGCGAATTTGCTTCCGATGAGGACAGGAAAACGGAAGAATTGTACAGGTAGGTGAAACAATCTACATAATTTGAATCTCATATTAATGTTAATCATGATACTATACGACACGGTGACGTATTATGGTGGAAGGCGTGACTTACGATTTTGAGGTATCACATGATCCGATTGTGGTATCAGATGATCCGATTTTGAGGTATCAGATAATCAGATTCTACACCACAATACGTCATGCACGAACTCTACGAGATTTCGTCGGCTAAGTATCATCTCTGTAATTTTTTGTATCATGAATCTTAATTGAAATTTTATATACAGGGTGGTACTTCAGTAATTCTACATAGAAGTATAATAGAATTTTGACTTCAAAATATTACGATCTACCATATTTCTGTGTATAATTATTTAAGGACCATCCTGTATACATATATATTGGTATAATAATATAAAATTAGAGAAATATCCTTAATAATAAATTGATTCAAGTCAAGTTACGATAGTAAAAAAAACTTTCCATTCATATAAATGTAGTTATAAAAAATTAATAAAACAAAACACAATTTAATTAAATGTTATACATTTTAGATACTGTATCAAATTTTGATAGATATTATAGACAAAATGTGATTGATTAGAGAAAAAAAAATTAAAATACTCACATTTCAAATGAATTTAGTTTATTTCCAAAAAAAGTTAAATGAAAATTTTTAGAAAATTACCAATAAATCGGATTGTAATAAATTCATTTTTAAATTTAAAGAAAAAATCAAATGTAAAAAGTCTTAATTCGTTTTTTCTGCATTATTTAGGAAGGTGAGGGGTATATTAAACAAATTGACTCCGCAGAAATTCGACACATTATTGAATCAAATCAAGACTTTGTCGATAGATACTAGTGCGAAGTTACAGGGTGTTATAGATTTAGTTTTTGAAAAGGCTGTGGACGAGCCTAATTTTTCTGTTGCGTACGCCAGTATGTGTGGACATTTAGCTCTCATACAGGTAAGATATAAAATATAAGAAAATATATATTTTATTAATTTAAATTCGCGAATTAAATTAATTAAAACAATATGAAAAACTTTAAACAATGGATTTTATGAAACTGCTAATATATAATAAAACATTTTTAAGCATATATAATTATAGTATTGTTTCATTAGATATTTATGTATTTTAGAGTATTTTTCTATTTATTTTGTAACATTGTATTTTATCAATTAGATTTTGGTTGGGATTAATATATCATTATTTTAAATATTATTTTTTAGGTGCCAACAAACTCTGGTACGGAAGAGTTCGTGAACTTTAGAAAATTACTTATCACTAGGTGTCAATACGAATTCGAAAAGCAATCTGTCGACGAGACTATTAGGAATCAAAAAGTGAAGGATATCGAAGCATGTACTGATCCAGAGAAAAAGAAAGACCTCGAATTTGAACTCGAGGAATATTTAAGAAAACTCAGAATGAAGTCTGTAGGAAATATTAGATTTATAGGTAAGTTATTTTATTTGAAAACTAAAAAAACATGTTCAGATCGACATAGTAAAAACTGCGACATGAGACAGAAAATGATTCATGCCGTGTTGTCAAATGTATTAGTAATATGTAGTTCTGCTTACATAAAATATTGAAATAGTAAAATGATTCATGCCATCTTGTCAAATGTATTAGTAATATGTACTTCTACTTACATAAAATATTGAAATAGTAAAATGGATACACAATTATGGTTGTATTAACCATATTGAGATTGAAAAGAATTTTTTAGTAACTCAAGTTAGTTTTCTAAAAATAACTTTTATTTTTAATAACTTCCAACTATTTTTTTCAACTGCATAATGAGATAAAATGGATACACAATTATGGTTGTATTAACCATATTGAGATTGAAAACAATTTTTTAGTAACTCAAGTTAGTTTTCTAAAAATAACTTTTATTTTTAATAACTTCCAGCTATTTTTTTCAACTGCATAATGAGATAAAATGAATATGCCATATCAATAATAGGGAGTTTAGCAAATTCTGTTTGGGACTATGTATAGGAGTCTACATGATTAGTGTTGGACGTTATTAGTATTAGTAAAATCCTTATTTGTTTTAAATGTTCTGTGGGCAATTCTAGTTAAAGATTAACAGGTAAGAATGGCCCAAAGAAATATATGAACCCTAACAACTATCTATGTGTTGTCTGTATAGTTCTACTTTATATTGACATTATTTTCACCATATCTTTTGAGACAATCTTTATGAAAGCCTCTCTTTTTTCTTTTAGAATCGCTTTTTTTAAATAGTCCTCACAAAAACATCAGTCATAAACTCGTCACTAAATATAACTTTTTTCCAGTCGTCCAGAGTCCAACTTTTCTTGGATTTTGCCCAATTTCAGTGATTTTTTTTCTGTGCTATATTCAGTAGAGACTTTTCGTTTGCTAATAAATAAGTTGCTTATGTAATTAATTCAAATACACATTCACTAATGTACATTTACCTTGTAAAATCTGACAACACTCTGTAGCCATATTAAAATTGTTAGATTAAATTGTATTTGCCCTACCTGGCAATGCAGGTACTTGTTCCTGTACTTTATAAAATTTGATAAGGGTTTTATTTCAATGTGTTTCCTCCTGGATAAATATGTATAATTTCACGAATTTTTGCACTCAGAACTTAGGCTTTTACGGCAGTTATATTTAGCAACTTCTCAAAATTCACACCTTTTACTATAATGTATTAAGATCCAAGTGATCACTTTGAAAAGCAGCTATATCTGTCTTAGTATACATGAAAGTTTAGAGTTAAATTTGCATAACTATTATCTGACAAATGTGCATGTTCCCTAAATAACTGTTTGAAATTGAGTTTCTGATGGAACTTGAAAGTTAGGAATACATTTTAATTTCTAAATTTGCGAAGACGGTAATTTTAAACAAGAAAATATTTTTTGATTTAACTTAAATAATTCAGTTATTCCTTTAGTGTTTGTCTAAGAAAATTCCTGTGTTTGGGTGTTGACTCTCTTTACATTCATATACAGGGTGTTGCATGGCGTACTGTTCAAACTTAAATATATCCCTGAGTCCATTTCAAGACAAAAATTTCCTATGAACAAATATCCAATTTTTCATGGTTACCAAGCTATACATTCAAAGTTTAGAAGATAAAGTAACGTCAGTCCTACACTTGTCAACTACATTTTCTGTTTGTAATAAATTTAAATTGGCAACCTGCTTATGATGTTTTCGAATGAAGAATATGCCAGCGTAGTGTTTATTTAAGGATTTTGTAATGGAAATTCACAAGCTGTTGTATCGGTGATGATTTCCATACTGACTTGTTCCAAATAACCAAACATTCAGTGCTGTGTTTTGACATATTCAAACACATGTTATAGCTATGTTAATTTATATTCTGATCTTTGAACGCTTCTAACTCTGTAACCATGGAAAATTGAAAAAAAAATTATATTTTGAACAAATTTATTGTTACTTGAATCGACCGCCTTCAAAATACTTTTTCGTTTTTCTGTTTTCCAACATTAGTACTTTAATTTGTGGTTAAAACTGTAGGGCGAATCGCTGTAGCATGGAAAAATTAACTATTTGATTTTTCATTGCATAGATTAATCATAATCTATAACAGTATGACAAGAACCAATAATTTTTAAATTTCATACATACGGTTAAAACTGTTTGTTAATGTTACTGGAATCAATCTAATATTACACATTTTTGTATTGGATTATACACATGATGTTTTTTAAGAAAGTAGTGGACCTAATATATTTGAGGATACTTTTTCACTGATAAACTCTAATACAAAATCAAAATACTCAAAAAAAGAATCAACCTTACCACAGAATATTCTTTTAGGTGAACTTTTCAAGCAAAACATGCTCACTCAAAGCATCATGTTGAGGTGCTTGCACATTTTGTTGGAAAACAAAGACGAAGAGAGCTTAGAGTGTTTATGCAAGTTACTGACCACAATTGGTAAGGAATTGGAAAGCAAACAGGTCAATCTAGGACAAATTTTCGGACAAATGAAGCAACTTACCGATAAGAAAGAATCCGGCAAGATTAGTAGTCGAATTAGGTTTATGTTGCAGGTAAATTATTAGAATCACATAATTTTTATAACTTTTACTAAATGTTTGTTATCTCTCTTTCAGGATGTGATAGATCTGCGCTACTCGAAATGGGTGCCACGTCGACAAGATTCAAATCCCAAGACGATAGACCAAATCCAGAAAGATGCCGAACAGGAACAGATGAACATTCAAATGATGAATTCTGTACCTATTACGCCTCGCAAAGATGACCGAGGCGGTGGTGGTGGTGGCGGCGGCAGTCAAAGCTCCATGAACGACAGAAAGGGCGGTAGAGGTAGAAATACGAATGACGAGGGTTGGACGATGCCGAAGAGCAAACCTCACTTTTCCGTGCAAAGTGATAAACTTAAAGCTGGAAAAGCGGTAAGAATATTTTTATATTGGACGTATTCAGTTTGTTAAAAATTCGTTTTTTAACGGAATTTTAAAAATCAACCAGTATAATAGGGTCGCTTCGCAACCTTCATAGATATAATGAGAATGAAAAGTTTTGACAGAAATGTCAATTTTGAATGACTTACAAAATACGAAAGGGTTTTGTTGCCATCAAACGCTTAAAAAAATTGTATACTTTCCAGATCAAAAAATGTGTACAAAAAAAAGTAGCAAAAAATTTTAATTAGCAGATACTTCTAAAATATCTTTCCACTGTAATTCAAGTTCGTTAAAAGCCCTTTACAGTCAAATGCGTTTTGTTAAAATTTTATTGCTTCTTTTAGTTTATATGTTAGGTTTGTTCTAGTTCTTCAAACATACAGTGAGAACTTTAGGACTAGTTTAAAAGTTGTATACGACAAATAATTATTTAATAAACTGTTTCACTGGATCTCGGACGGTTTGGATCAAATTTTAAAGAAACTGACCAAATCCTTTATATGAATTAGATGATTATTTATATTCTATTAGAATATATTATTGAATTATCTTAATGTAATATATAATTATAATTCCTGGAAATTTTGATTTATCTGCAATTGCTAATTAAGAGGGGAGGTCAAATTTTTTCAGTATGCTAGTGAAAAACTGCTTTAGTCTCAATTTAGTTCAATGCACTTCATCTAAACGTTTTTATAATAAATGAATCCCATCCATGAAGTCATCGTTCTGCATTTTTTATGACTAACCAAATTGAAATTAAAATAAGGGAGAGAAGGAGATGAAAGTATTCAAGTTTTTGTTCTTCCGCCAAGTACCGCAATACAAATTAATTGGTGTTGTTGGTGTGATAAGGAAGTAGAAAAAATTCTGTAATGCAATAGAGGTTGATCTTTTAATGACTTCTTCTAAAGAAATACAGAAAACAATCAAAATAATAAGAAAATAGACTTGTTTTGGTTCTTTGACGAACTAGTTCTGAATTAAAAAATAAGTTACTGACTGAATAGTAAAAATAATATATAAGTGTATCCACAGATAGAGTTCACAAGAAAACAAAAATCGTATTAATTTTACCAAAATAAATATTTATTTGCTTTGCTGTGAAAAGTGCATTAGGGTTAATAAAGTAATTGTTGAAATGTTCTTTTTATTATAAATAGATGAGAGGCTGAGCATTAAGATGAACCTAATTTGAAACCAGTTCTAATCGAACCAAAACAAACCCAAATAAAAGATAAAATATTTCTCACTTTAAAGTTTTGGGTGGGAAAGGTTTTCTGTTTCTTTATCTTACTATTTTCTTTAAAATATCAGATTTATTTATTAAATTTTTGTGTTACAGCCTCAACTTGATGAACCTTTGGGTACTGCGGCGCAGTTTAAGTGGCACACTGGTGCTGGCGCAAATATTAAACCTGCTGCTCAAGCTCCTATCACTTCTGCCAATATGTATGCTGCTTTAGATAATATTGAGTCTGATAGACGAATAAGTAAGTATTATTTATTTTTAACCAGATTTATTTATTATTAAAAACGGCGAAGGTCCCAAAAGAAATTTAATAGTTTTAGTTTAGTCCCAATTTATTTTAATCTAATATTAAATAAAATATATACAATATATGTTGAAAATCTTATAAAATAAAAATAAATAATAATAGAGTAAAAGTATGAGATACCACGTAAAAGTGGAATATTTTAGATCCTGTAATGGTTTGCGCTAATTCCATCTCTAATTACTACCTACCTCTTCCGATTTTTTGATAATAAAAACAGGATTCCACAGAGTTCCGTTTTAAAACCTATAATTTTTGATAGGATTAAAATGGCACCGATAAGAGAGCAATCTAAGAATAAAATGGCCGTAACTTAGAATATATTTGTCCAAGTAATAAACTTTTTTGGGATTTTTCTTTGTTGCCAAATGATGTCTAACAGTTTCTGTTCAACATATATAAATCGTTTATTTGGCAATTTATAAGGCAATACACACATATGAAATAAAAATTCGCATTTACTACAATATAAATAATTTATTTCAGATTCTCGATCTGGTCTAAAAGACTCGTACCACTCGAAGGGCGCTAGCTTAGAACGTGGTAGCTACAAATACGATAGCAGAATCGACTCCCGATCTGGTTCGCAGCACCGTTCGAACGACAGCTCAGCGTCTTCGTCGCAACGCGGCACTCCGGCGCCAACTCCCATTTCCATACCACCTCCACAACTTTCTCAACAACAGACGCCGCACAAGCAACCGCAAGTCGCGCCCGTTTCTGCGGCGGCGGCGGCTCCTGTACCTCAAGAAAGCGAAAACCTAACTGACGACCAACGTATAAGGCGGATTACCAATAGTCTGGAAGAATACGTTAGCGGAAATTGTAGTATCGATGAATACTTTACCGATATTAGTTGCGCCGTTCCGGTTTCACACTTCCCTGAGATGGTCAATGAAAGGTAAGCTCTATTAACACTATTAACAGCGTTGTTACTTCTTGGATAATAAAAACTTACTAGTCGAAGAAGTCCTCAGACATGTCTGATTAACATAAAATACATTTTTTATTGATTAAATATTAAAATAATTAGAGGGCATTCGATAATATAGAAAAATGAAAAGATAAATAAGGGCGTAATAAAAAGTTGTTATAAAATAAAAAAAAATCGCTAATAACTGCATTAATTACCGCCTCTCTAAGTTCAGGTGGGGTACACACATCTCTTTATCACTATTATTAAATTTTTTATATATTTTTCAGTTTATTACACACGTTTTACCTAGAACTTTTAGATAGCATTTATGTTCTGGAAAATGACATTCAAAATATTTAAAAAATAATTTGGAAATGACTAATATCAAAATCAATTCAAATATGTTATTATATCGGTGTTAGTAGTAAAAAATAATCAATATTCTTCAGTTGAGAAGGCCATTATAGACCTCTGTAAATAATATCTCAACCTAGATAATTATATACTAATTCGTATTTATTAAAAAGTTGTTTCAATCTTTCTAAGCTATTTCAATTCTGCATTTCTGATAAAAGTTTTTTTTTTTCAGTTATTTACGTATATTGGAAAAATCAACACCAGTTCGATTAAAAACAGGTGATCTTTTTGCCAAATTAATAGATCAAGGTAAAATATCGCCAGAAGATTATTGTGCTGGTTTAGAGGAATTACTCTTGCAGGCCGATGACCTTAAAATCGATATTCCAAAGATTTGGGATTACTTAGCTGAAATTTTAGGTAATTTATTAAATCTATAAATTTTCAAAATACAGTCGAAAAACTTTGTTCTATTATGTTTTATTTTTTTAGTTAATTTAATTACTGAAGAAGCCATTACCCTGAAGAGGCTACAGAAAGCCATGAGTATACTCATCCAACAAAATCAAGCTGACAAACTGTTGGCACCACTCTTTAAGTTAGTCATTAGTAGTAAGGGAGTGAACTTCCTGCAAATCCAGTGGCAGTTGTTCCATATGCAATGTTCAGATTTCATGGATCCATCGCGGGTCGATGCTTTCATTAAGGACAATGTAAGTATTCCCTATTTTATAAAAAAAAATATTCTTCAAAGGAAAAAAAATGCAAACTCCAGTTCATTTTATATCTATGATGAACCATTTTCGAAAAAAAAATCGATTTAAACTTTTTATGTTTCCTTGAGTAACAAATCAATTTATGAATTATGATAAGAAGGTTGTAGAAAATAAACAAAATACTTAACAGTGCTCAGACTGCCTGAGCACTATTTATTCAGCGACCTAATTAACAATTAAGTCGCTGAATATCCAGTGTTCTGGTGGTCTAGTTACAATCAGAGGTTGCGGGTTCGAGTCCCGCCCTCCGCAAATTTTCTATTTTCGTTTTGGGAATAGGATTTAAATCGATTTTTTAATAACATTTCAAACTTCAGATAAAAAAGTATCATGCCGATGTTAGAGCGACACCTTTTAATGCTTTGCTACCTTAGGAAGCATTCTTGGATTATGGTAATTTACGTTAATTCGACATAAAATTAAATCTAAATTTTGCTGTTTTACATCCCGTATATTGCTAAATATTACATTCAACCACTAGAATTGTGTAGGGAACCATTCTTACAGTTGTGTTTATTGTTTCAGCACTTTGAATTTCTATTGGGCGATGCACCGCCTGCAGGTCTTGATCAATTATCCTATGAAGAAATTCAACCAAAGTTGCTGAGCTTCCTCAGGAGTAATAGAAGTATTGATGAAATTCAGGACTGGGTATTGGTGAGTATTGTGATAAAATAAATTAAATTGACTGGACCTTGGGCTTTTTTAGAGTCACAGTCAGAAATGAGACATGAATGAGTTGAATCGAAAGTAATTTATAATCCTTCAATTGAAGCGCCTTCTCTTAACGGAGTTTGGGTACCATATAAGTACCAATTACTTTAATTGTTAATAATTGAAAATTTTAAAAATTTTCACCATCTTTCAACTATACTTTTTCGGTGAATAGATGTTAAAGTTTCTATCTTTAGGTATTTAGATGTTGATAACTGTTTAATTTCATTTTTTTGCTTATATGGATGCATATCTGGAAGGTATCTGTCGCTGTTCATTTTAGGCAGTCTACGAATATACAGATCTTATTTCTTATTATTTGGAATTGACTATACTACCCAGACAAATAGGCAACAAAGCCTGTTTCTATGATTCTCGTTTCCCGTGTTTTTTGTGTCATGTTAGCCGCAGCGTGATAATTGATGCAGGATGCACTATTGCTAATTTAATTTCATTTCATTCAATTCAATAAAATTTAATTCAACTTAATTCAATTGCATTAAAAACATTATACCAGACAGGAAAAATAAATACTGTATAGCATAGTAGTTCTCTTAAACTGTGAAGCAGAATGTGTGAAGCATATTTCTTTGATCATCACATTTTTGTGTTATAACTTGATCTATAGTAGAAATAACTAAATTATCTTATTTGTTCTAGGCCAATGTTGGAAAAGAAGGAATTAAAGATAAAAAATTCGTTAGAGCACTTGCGACTGCCGTATTTGAAGATTCAATCAATAAGAGCCACAAGCTCAGTTTGGAGAGGTTAGAGCAGCACACTAATCTGTTGCTGAAGTACGTCGACAATAACTCTGTGTTTGAGCTCGAGTGCTTGTATGCTCTTCAGGCTCTTATAAATCAAATGGAACATCCTCAGGGTAAGTAAATATTATTTCAAAATAAATAAAATGACTTCTTATTTCACTTAATTATATTGAATGATTTTTGTATTTTCTGTTCTATTTTATATATTTATTTATTTTTTTCAGGGGTTTTACTAAATATATGTAATAAACTTTACGAAGTAGGAACATTTTCACAAGAAAGTTTTCTCGCTTGGGAGCAGAGTCAAGATCCTGCAGAACAAGAGGGCAAAGGTAAGGCTATTTGTCATAAAATACTAATATGATTCTATTATAAATTGGTCAATATTTATTAACCTCAATAATTGTTTGGAACGAGAACTTTGTTGGTGCAATAATTATTATAAGGGTAATCTGTCTGTGTTCATTTATTTTTCTTATTGGAGGCTCGATAGATATACTGTAACTGAAATCAGAATTTTCTCTGTTCACTGATCTGATGCCGCGTTTGAATATCCACATTGAATGCATTTTTTACATCTCCAGCGTTTGTTTATCCACATAGAACACATCTACATCTCGATTTAAAATGAGATGTTCATTCCATGCCAGAAAGTAGGTGTTCTGTGAAGCCAAGATTATTGATTTATTCTTTATGTATGATATATATAAAAGTGATTGTGTTTAATTTTTGTTTAGAATATAAATTTAGATTGATTTCCAGTCTTAAAAGTCAAATTTAAAGAATCTAACTTATCATTTTATCACTTGACCAATAAAGTCTAGAGCGTTTGTTTATTATATTTACATTCAGATCTAATCTATCACGTGATAAAAAAATCACATCTCAGATACATACGATGTGTATATTCAAACGCAGCATGAATATAATAAATGGATAGATAATGCAATTTCACAAAAATGTTAGAATGATTCGTTCACGCATCTATGCGATTTTGATCCTTAGGAAAGCTAGTGGTGGTTTTAGGCATAATGCAATAGACTATGATCAAACTTAGGAATATTTAATTTAAACAATGTTTTCTTAGGAATACTTTATAATATAGATAATTTTTTATGTATGAATCTTCAATCATATTAACAGTATATACGGGTGAAATGAAAAGAGGTCTGGATTTTTTTTTGTTGTTGAAACTTGTTGAATAAAATACGAATACGAAGTTCATTAATTTTAATACGAAAATACCATTGCAACGTAAATATGAATTAATTAACTTTCTAACTTTGAATGAAACGTATTAGAAATAACGATTTGTTATAAATATTATCCCATTATGATACAAGTTTCTAGGTTAACTCTTAATTCCTGAGCAATTGTAGGCAATTAGTTGTATCTTATAAAACAGTTTTCATAACTGCAAATACTTTAATAACATTAAATGCTTGGAAACCCTATTCAATACTTATGTAAGATCGCGTCTAGAATACTGTTCAATTATCTGGTCATCTGGCTACAATTGACCAAATCGAATCGATTCTGATAATATTCATGAAGTGCATGGCATGGAAATTGGATGAACCTATTCACTGCAAGGTATCGACAACACAATACTATTAAATCGGTCAAACTTCTCATCTCTTGAGAATCGCAGTACATAGATTTCATGTATTTTTATATATAAATTAATGAATAATTTAATCGATTGTCCATAGCTTCTAGAACAAATTAATTTATATGTACGGTGACCAAATACGAAAAATGAGAAGACATTTTACCTCTTTACTCCCAGAATGAATATCATGATGAACTCTCCCTTAAATAGAATGTGCATCGATTTAAATGGCACCTACTGTTGATATACCTTTTCTAAAGCCATATTGTTTGTTTGATTTTTGTATAGGATTTAGCTAAGTACTTTAAAACATATATTTTAACATGGATTTATGCACTGTTTGTTGTGACATTGCTTTACTCAGGGTCGACTTTGTAATTAGTGTTTAAATTCGGACAGATGTTTGTAATTAATGTTTTTGCTAACCTGTTTTTCTATTGTTGTTGCAGGTGTTGCCTTAAAGCAGCTGACGTCATTCATCTGTTCACTGAAAGAAAACCTAGACGATGACGAAACGTCGGGTTCAGAACAGGACATAGAAGAATAGCGGTTAGCCGCAGCGCCAGTGATTTTGGCGCCCCACATAGACTTAATAAATTAAAAATTTATAAAAAATGTAATAATTAAGGCGAAACTCTGCGAGTGATAAATGAGAAGAAAATGTGACTAATCGACAAACAAAAAAACTCTAGTTAAAAAAATTTATACAATTGTTTATATTATATATATTATACATATTTAATTATATACTATATATAAAAACTGTTGTGTGAGTGCGGCGGGATGTAAAGAGTAACAAGTGCCCTCAGTATAATAAATAATAGAATTATACACAATACGCGAAAAGGACAAAAAAAATTTTTAAATTTAAGTACGGACTCTGTGAACGCTCATTAGATATTTTTCAAGAGGAACATAGAAACCGGAAGAGGCGGGCTCGGCTGGTGCGGCCTTTTTTTTATCTACAGGGTGTTTCGAAATTGCGGGAACTGTCGATTCACTTATTCCTGCAATATACGCCAAAAAAAAATTTTTACTCTTCAGTTTTTTTATGAAAACGAACATCCTGTATATTCTTAAAGTAATTTAATTTATTTTATACAGCATGTTTTATAAATTGTGAAAAACAATAACTGAAGTTTTTTTGGAGCATTCTTTAAAAATCAAATCTTTTGTAAATTAAAAGAAAATAATATGAACATCTACTTTTTTATACTGTATATTATATATCCTTATTATGCTTTGATCTTTAAAGAATTTTGTTAAATATATTTCCAAAGGTATCTGAAAATATGTTTTTCATTATTTTTTCGGCAAGCTGTCTACGTTTGATGATGATTATTGAAAAATTACAAAAAAGATTAAAATCCTGATGACATTAGATCGATCTGTCATTATCAGTTATCATCATCATAAGTATTGGTTTTCTGTGTTAATTTTTTTTTTATTAATTAACTGGAGAGCTGTCAAATATACTCATCACATTTGAAATTATTTTTTTCGGTATAATGTATCTGATTAAAACATGCAAAGTGATTAAGTCATTTATCCTTAAAATATTATTAGTTTTTACAAGTCTCTCCTGCCTCTATCTGTAAATCATCAATATTATTTTTTCGTATTTTGACATATAAATGACATTTTTTTGGTCTTCCATTCATTCAATGAGCTATTGTGTTTTGGTGATGCAGAACTAAAATATGCAAACATTCCTTCACCTTCTGGCGGCAGTATGCAAGTATGAAATATAAAGCGTTGAGGCAGTTTTATGGTTTTTTTGTGAGGCAATTCTACCGAGTTCTGCAATTTTTACAATTTCCATTGTACTTTATTCAGCGTTGTTCACAAGATAAATAAATTTAATAAACTTCAATGAAATAGAAATACATTCGTTAATCCTCATTTGTTTTGGTTTGTTTTAAAGTACAATGAACGAGGTGAACATTTAAAGAATTTAAATAAACAGTTACTTGAAACTTGTAAGCAGAAAAATACTTTCAGCGACAAATTTGAAGTTGGTGAGATTGTGGCTGGTAAAATAAATGACAATCTATATAGACCAATAATTGAAAACATTGAAACTGATTAAAAATGGAACAATTTCATATTTACTGTGGTTAATAGATTTTTGAACACTTAAAGAAAGTACCAGTATTTTTAAACTTCCCTCTTTATTAAGGAGAACTCTTCCATTATCAATTCAAGCAAGTTTTAACAATGTTGTTTACCTGGAGCAAGTTATCGATTATGCGAGTTGTGGACAAGTTTATTCTGCAAGTAGGCATGTATTGAAGCCTACTTCACGATCTAGGAATAAAAGCATTAAGCATTTATTTACCACTGCATTAAATTTAAGTTTGATAAAAAAAAAGATGGCATAGTATTTTTATGTATAGATGAAGATAAAAATTAAATTTCTTTAAGAGATTCATTAATAGAAGATGAGATATTAGTTTTTGATAAAAATCTGGCTGAGGACATTAGATTTTATTAATAACTATAAAGAAAATCATCTTATGGTTATTTCCAAGATATGTAATGAACCATATTGCCTGGATCCAAAGATGGAAAAAGAACGAAAAATTCAAGATTCTTGCTTGAATATTGTTTCAAGGGTTCTGTTAAGCTTGAGGACGATGGCTGTCTCATTAGGTTTCAGTAACTGTCAATGAAATTTCCATAAAAATAAAAGAAATTATTGGAAAAACTTTGGCCAATACAAAGAAAAAAAATGATCTTAATGAAAATATTACTTCGGAATCAGTTGATTTTGTTATTAGATTCATCAGATTTACCAAAATCAAAAAATTGGTACAGAAGCTGAAGCAAAGAAAAGTAACAAAAGAAAAGCCAGTTGCTGGTATGTTTTAATTTTCTAATTTTTATACTTTAAACCATTGAGTTTTATGCTTATGATTTAATTTTTATGCAAGGATTTTGAAAATAATTAATTCTACCTGTATTCACTGAATTTTACACTGTACCTCACAAAGCTGATGGTATAGTTGAATTGGTGTGAATGCCGTTTGAGTACCATGGCATCTAGGAGGTCTCAATTTAGTACTACTATTTCCAGTACCCAATTAATCGCTTTAATTTCCTTGTAAACCATTTCAATTAAAGCTCGAATCACATTTAATTATCAATACGTTTGAGTTAATAGTATCTTGCTGAATTTGACCCAAATCAAACTGTGCAGCCTTTTTTCGAAAAAAAAAAAAAAAAAAAAAAAAGTTTAACTGGATAGATAGTGCAAGCTAAGCCCATAAAATTAGAGAAAAACTATACAGTACTTGCATTTTTAAAGCTGTAAAGTGAAAAATTTAAATGTTATACTTCGGTGATAAATTGTTTTGCCATTGGAATGTTGGATAAAGGCTGAATCGTTTGTTGGAATCGGTCTGTCTCTTTTTATTATGGACACAAATTACTAGAAAGAAATATTTCTATTCGCTTAAATTATTCTGCAGTCTGTAAAAAAAGAGGCATAGATGTTGAAGTGAGAATAATTTAATTACACTGTGTGGAATATTCGGATTTGGGATTACACTTTTTTTCCACCATTTGACTGCAGTCTGACCATTCACTTAAGACAGCCTTTGATTGTACAATAATATACGATAATTTTTAACACTGGAATGACTTCACAGTTTTTGAAGTCCATAAAAACAGGTGCCTGGTCTTGTACCTCTAGTCTGCTGATCATGGATTTGAAAAATTAGAACTAGACAGTTTTGACTAAATTTGACCATTAATATAAAGCGACCTTAAGCACATTTTCAGCACAAATGAGAAGGATAATTTAATTATGATTTTTATTATTAAAAAGTTCAAGTGTGTGCTTAGATGTCAAAATTAAGGCGCCCTTAATAACAGCTTAAACTTTAGACCACTTTCAGCAACTTCTTATTATCTAGAAATGCCTCTAAGAAATAACTGCCTGTCTCATTCTGCGATAACATTTAAAAAGATCAAAGATTTTCAAAAGTAGTTTGGTCTTTCATGACATAAATTCACAAATTTCATATTTTGACTAAGCATTTGTATTTCTTTCAAACTATTGAGCATGTTCCTAAAGAATACCGCTGGTCGGCCAAAGCAACTCTATTACAACACAAATTGTTTGAATTTTAAGGTCAAATGAATAATCTTTCAATCAATGTGTTGGTTTGTTTCAATCGACCTCTTGTATCTGGAAAAAAATAAATTTAAATAACTTTCAGGTGGGTTTTACTGCTCTCCAGTGTATATATGGTAATATGTTAAAAAATTTAATCAAAGGTTAAAAAGCACATATCAAATTTTTTAACATATAACATAGTGTATGCTTACTAAGTTAATTTATAAATTATGTAAAATTGCTCTATTTAACGTGATATTATAGATTGACACAATGTCAACTTCAATTTTAAAACATATTAGATGTTTGACATCGGTCATGTTAAATAATGAAAAGTAACTTTTATGGCATTTTTTTACACAGGCGTCTTATTGATGTCTTTAATTTGCATTTATATAAATAATTCTATTTAAAATGATAATTTTTAAATAGGACGAAAGTTCATAAAATAATCTAATGTTTATTTTATTTCTTTTTTTTTTTTTCTGGAAAAATCGGCAGTTTCCTTATTTAAGTTCCACCATGTAACCACTGGTTTAATGTCTTTATTTATATATTATATATTTTATATTATTTAAATAATTTTTATTGTTTATAGTAACGTTGTTATTTTAGATGCCGGTAATTGCTGAGCCCTCCGAAATTTCTTCAGTTTTTTTTTAATGGCGCCCTACCGTTGAAAATGGCGGGTTCGCCGTTTTATTTTTGTTATTGGTCGATTTGTTATCCTTTGGTAGGGTGGTAGTGTGACTATTTCTTAACTTCATTGTCGTCCCTTCCCAGATGTTCCTCATTTTACCAGATTCTTTTTTGAAAAAATTTTTCGTCTCAACTGTATGAATACCCACACAAAATTACAATTTATATAAAGAAGTCACAAAGAAGAAAGATAATAAATTTTTATAGTTATTTTTTCTTTTAAATTACCTGTAACCACAAAGATTTTTTTTATTGGTGTGAAAATTAAAACATATTGGGACCATTTATGTGTAAAATTTACGAAAGCAATGATTCAAGCTTCCTTAATCATGTATGAAGCAATACGTGTCGAAATTTTATATGCCAAAATTGTGACTTTAAACTTCATCAATACCAAAACTCACAGTTGCGAGATACATATTAATTTATGTAAATGCAATAGAAGGTGGTGTACAATTAACGATTTTTTTGCTCTCAAATGGAAACTAATACACTGCCTTCACTATTTTATTTTATAACCCAATAAACACTATGTGACTTTTTTATTACATTTTGGAAGTAGTTTCTTCCAACTTAAAACTAGGTCCTTTCTACTTGGAACTAGTCGGTCCCATTTCGAGAAACTAGTACACTGCCTTCACTATTTCATTTTTAACATAAACACTATGCGACTGTGATTTGGTTACATTAAAGATATGTGAGGATCTCTATTCTTTTTCGGTGTCAGT